TTCATGTTTTATCATATACACGTTATAAACTAATTTTATATTTTAAACCAAAAGATTCAAAATTTTGTATTTCAAAATGAAAAAAAAATTGTTTACAAATTCTCTAACTACATAAAATGGTGTACTAATACTTCACAAATTATATGGACTTTTATCAGTTAATTATATGAACTTTCAGCAATTAATTATATAGGTCTTAGTGCATCGAGTTTGATTTGGCATGTGCAAGCAAATATACCAAAACTTGACTTGTTGGATTTGACTCTAGTTTTCATTTATAAATCTCAAAGTTCATTAAAACTTTATGAAAAAATAATTATAAATATTATAGATTTTTCCACCAATAGATAGAGGTTTTGAAATATACAAATATATGTATTATAAATATTAGTTATCATTTTAAGTTCATGTAATTTGCTAAAAAAAATTATTTTAGAATTTTTTATTTTCAATTTCATTTTTATTTTTTAGATTTTTTTTTTAAAAAAAATTTAATTTTTTTTATATTTATTTTCAAAGAAAAAAATATATTAAAATCTAAGTATTTAAATTTAAAAATTGATATAATTTTAAAAAATTAAATTTAAATTTAACTAAATAATTTAGGATAAAATCAAAATCCATTTAAAACCGATTTTAAACCGATTTAGAACAAGTGGTTTGGTTTATAAATCATAACCATAAAAATGGATTGGTGTAAAGAATATAATAAGATAATATTTTATATTGATTATGTTTTTTATATGAAAAATAAAAATAGTTTAAATAAATAAAGTGTAAAATTTATTTAAATATTTTGTATTAATTAAGAATACAATTTAAAATAATAAATAAATATTATAATTATATATATATATATATATATATATATATATATATATATATATATATATATATATATATATATATATATGTATATATATATATATATATATATATATATATATATATATATATATATATATATATATATATATATATATATATATATATATATATATATATAAAAAGATTTGGTTGAATATTAAAGTGAATAATATAAAATATAAATTTTTAAAACATAAAGTAGATATGCATATAAGATGTCTGATTAATATATTTGAACTTTTAGAAGCTATACATATAGACCCTAAACATATGAAACATATATTTATATAAACATATGAAACATATATCTATATAAACATATATACTCTATCTTAATGCATTACTTGAAAGTGTGGTTCAATGAGATAATGAAAAAAATCATGCTCTATAGAATCTAAAAAATAGATGTGTAAAGATTTAGATGTTCAAAATAGAATAAGAGTAATGCTATATGTTACGACATATGCATTTAACGAATTGCAAGAATGTTGAGTTGTCTTGTTTTCATTAGTGTATCAATAAGTCAGTTTTGCCTTTTGAAGAAATCATGAGATATGATATTGCAGTTACTAAATATATACATTTCGTTGGTTTCGTATGCTTTCGTACCACTAAGCTTTTTCCATAGTATAATTAGTTACGATATATATATATATATATATATATATATATATATATATATATATATATATATATATATATATATATATATATATATATATATATATATATATATATATATATATATATATATATATATATATATATATATATATATATATATATATATATATATATATATATATATATATATATATATATATATATATATATATATATATATATATATATATATATATATATATATATATATATATATATATATATATATATATATATATATATATATATATATATATATATATATATATATATATATATATATATATATATATATATATATATATATATATATATATATATATATATATCGATTCAACCGGGGTTTAATTTCAGTTTAACCTTAGAATTTTGAATCCATAAGTACATCAGTTCAATATTCGATCCGATTTTAATTACCTTGACTAGAACATAACTTTGCTTGAATTTTTGTCTATTAAAATATTTTTGCCATTTCAAAAAGAAGACTTTTAATTAGCTTTTGTAGATACAATTTTTCACTTTCTACATGTTTTTTTTGTTAACTAATCATAATTCATATGATTGAGCTATTGAGTAAATAATAAAGATGCCCTAAAATTAATACAAAATTATATTTACTCAAATCGACATAAAAACTATAGTTAAAATTAACAAACATTTGTGCTCACAAACTGTATCATCATTTTACTTGTGATGATGCAAATGAAGAGATTCTTGATGCAAGTTTGGCATGAGCATCCCCTGTAGTCAATACTTGAGGTATTGACATGCCACCAGATATAACAATTTCTGTATCACAATAAAATAAACTGTTACAATCATATACTTTAACATATATTGTTATAATCATATTCGAATCGTGTTCTACTTGATAAGAAATTTGTGTACATACCTATTCCTTCGCGTACAGAAAGATTAGGCCTCAAAATATCATCTGGACTAATGAGAAAAATATCTCCAAGATACAAGTGATTAGTAGGAACATAAACACAATAAAGCTCTTCTTCATCTCTGGGTTTCCTTAGTATTATTGAAGATGTGATAAATCCTAATGTATACTCTCCAATTCGAGGGTGTTTTACAAGGGCCACTTCCTTGAAAGCGTTGGAGCTTTGATCTGCCAAGCATTTAAAAAGTTTAGACTATCCAACAACATAAATTATGCAATCTTTTTTTATTGAAGGTGTGTTTGATATTGACTTTGATGCATTTAGTTACATTTAATTATTCTATTTGTTAAAATATAAAAAGTATCAACATGTCACTGTCAGAATTGTGTCTGCTATATATGTGTCGATGCTTCATGAATACATACATACCTGGTGATATTGCTCCACTTATTTGCTTGGAGGCAGCATATATGTCAAGAGGCATTTTCTTAATGAACCATTCACCTAAGGTAAGAACAGAAGCTCCTAACCATGATGACATAAAAATCCCAACTAGGAAGATAAAAGATATGGACGTAACAAATCCAAGACCTGCCCAATCAAACAAATCAATTACATACAAGACTTGATAATGTCCGTTACAAACGAAACTATGCCAACATTGTCAATCACATATAGCAGATTGTTAAAATTTTGCGACGCAATAAGATTATATCGCTACTATAGCCGTAATTTGAAACATTTTGAACTAAATTGTATATTAAAGAACAACTATAGTTTCTATTTAACAATATTAGAATAACTCATATTCATAAACCAAAATGCAAAAAAAATATAATACAAGAACTTACCAAAAATATTGATCCCGAGATGATTATATATAGGGGAGAAGAAACCATCAACAAATCGAATAAATCCCCAAGTGACATAGAATGTTATTGCAATTGGAAGAAGAATGACACTACAAATGTTACATTATTTCTTATAAGAATATGATAATATGATAATCAAAACTAGAAACCAAAATTTCACGTAATCTCAATCATTTGGACTCCAAAAGTTTAAATCACCATGTTATCATGTAAATTTCTCTAACCTTGCAAATCTCAATTATATGAAACAATGTGTTATGATATAAATAAAAAAATTGTATGTACCATCCTGTCATAAATTTCTTTGAGGCCCAACTTCGAATCACTTTCGAAAATGCCTGGAATAAGTGAAGAAAGAAATTTTGTTTTATCAAACAAAGTAAAATAATTAATCCCCAAAAACATTGTTTTCACGGTGTAATTTGATCTCTATTTATACATATGAATGTCACCTCTTGACCAGAATTATGTTGGGGGGAGAGAGTGGCATTGGCAGAAGAGGAAGAATTGGAAGATAATTTAGAGACTCCATTGTTAGAAATGTTGGACACTGGAATGAGAAGCTCTAGATCTCTTGTTGCAGCCATCCTCTTTCTCCTTTCTTGATTATTATTGTTTCTAACTGATTGTTAAAATAATTTCAATTAATTAGTGAGCTTATCAACCATTCTCTCGTTTGTGCAAGTGCAAGGGCATGTGTATTTTTTTAACTCTCTAATAATCACGTGACATGGCATAATTTACTTTGGAGAAATCATTTTAACTTTATATTATAAATGAATGATAAATGTTAGGATTCAAGTCTTAAGTGTTAAGTCCCACGTTAATTATATATATATATATATATATATATATATATATATATATATATATATATATATATATATATATATATATATATATATATATATATATATATATATATATATATATATATATATATATATATATATATATATATATATATATATATATATATATATATATATATATATATATATATATATATATATATATATATATATATATATATATATATATATATATATATATATATATATATATATATATATATATATATATATATAGGCCATATCAAGTGAGAGGAGTAGTTAATATGAGAGATGAGAGGAATTAATTAAAACCATTGGATTCAAATTAATTAAATGATAGTGATTAATTTTCAGTTTTAGTAACTCACGTGAGATGGTTTTTATTAATTAGAAAAACACAATTGATATTAGTTCTCGCACTTCCCTAGCTGACTTTTATTTCTTCCCTTAAACACGTGTATGTTTTATTGTATGTTCTCCCACACAATCATAATTAATACAAATTATATTAAATTTCTACCAACATATATTAGATAAAAAATAAACAGCTATTAATCTTAATTTATGTCAATTGTTTTCATTAAAATAAAAAACTACTATAACAAAATTAAAAACAATATGCCATTAATTATAATTTATACCAGTTTTATACCAATTTATATCAAAATCAAAATTGATATAGCAAAATCGTAAGAAAATGCTAGTATGAATCATAATTTAAACCATATTTTATATCAATCAAAACTGATATATCACTATCAAAACAAACAACTAATAATTATAATTTAAACAAGTTTTTATATCAGAATCAAAATTGATATCAGAAAAAAACAAATTGTTACTACATCCTTCTTCAACATAATAAAAACAAAATACTATGTGATATTCTTTCTACGGTATTCAGTGATAACTTTATTCTTGTTCCTTTCTATAATATTCTTCTTGTAACGATGAAGATGGTTTTTCTGGGCAACTGCGACTATCATGATAAGCATATTCACCACATGCCTTACAAAGCCTTGTTCTTTTTTTTTTTGTTCAAGAGGCTTTTCTTTTCCACCTTTTATTCTTTTACCACTACCTTTAGTCTTTACAAATTGTGGAGGGAGGATTTTTACTTCTTCAGGTATATTGGATCCGATAAAGGTTTGCAAATCACCTATCTTAGTTTGGTTATAACTCTCTTCAAACTCATCCAATTGCTTTTCCATGTTAACAACCCCATTTAACACAAGAAGCAATTTTTCCTTATCTTGTCCTACCTTTTCCAAACACTTAAGTAAGTGATCCCACACATCTGAAATGAGATTGTTATCCTTTTCTGAATTAGAGAACTTATCCAAGACATTTTCAGCTATATCCAAAATAGGTTTTCTATTTGCAAACTTAGTCCACCTATTCACAAGGTACTTGCTTGGTATTTTATTTAGAAATTTACCCTTTAAAATACAAAATATGTGTTTGCAAGGTATTCCTTCAGTCTGAAACATCTTGCATGAGCCGTTGGCATTATGGTCAGACAAATTATACACCATTTCTTTAAGTTTACTATTGACCTTGCCATTATCATATATATGAAATATTTCTATTCCATCTTGCTCTTTCTTATTTTCAATTCCACAGTCTACACATGCAAGCCATAATTCATTCTGAAATATATAAAAGTTCTCACAAGTATACACATCTCTCGCATGTTTCTCTATGCCACGATCCATAATTAACTTTGGTGTAGAATGATTTGAGTTATTATCGGTAAGTAACTCCTTATGTTGTTGTGCTTCTATTGCCGAATCAAACCCCATCCAAAATTCAACCAAGCTAACATTTGGATTCAAGAAATTACCATAAAAAGAATTCTCACTTTCTGACCTTGATGTAGTTCTCAATATCCCAACCAAGAAAATATCTTTAAAGTATGCTGGAATCCACATGTCTCGAATATCAAACATATGTGACAACCAATCATTATTTTCTAACTCAAATTTGGTCATTATAGACTTCCATGTAGCTTCAAACTCATTTGGTGTCTCAGACCCCCAAACACATGACTTGAGACTCGTGTTGAACTCTTCATTAGCATTCATAGAACCACCTATTTTCTCATAAACTTTTTTCATTATGTGCCACATGCAAAATCTATGAGTAGAGGTAGTAAAAATATTTTCTATAGCTACCTTCATAGCAGGATATTGATCAGTTATTAGAAGAGTTAGCATTTTTCCTCTCATTCTTCCAAAAACTTTTGGAACAACCATATGAATTAATCAATTTTCTCATTTGCTAAAAATCCTGCTCTAAGAGTTATAAATTGTCTATGGTGGTTTATTCCAGTAAAAGGTGCAAAAATCATAGAGTATTTATTTGTTTGATACGTAGTATCAAATGAAATCACATCCCCAAACACAGAATAATTTTTTCTACAAATACCATCTGCCCAAAAAACATGTTTTAGCCGACCTTCTTCATCTAACTCATACGCATAGTAAAATGATGGATTAACTTCTTGCTTCCTTCTAAAGTTATCAATAAAAACATGAGCATCATAATCTTTAATCAACGTCTTTAAATCTCTCGAATAATTTTGAAGATCTCTCTGTGTGCAACCAACATTTTGATAACCCCCAAACTGTTTTTTTAATAAGTGGAAAGTTTTTGATGTTTCAATATTTGCCTTACTATATGCAAGTAATAAATTCTTGTGAATTGGATTCACTTTTCTTGCCGATCTTAAAAACGGTCTTTTCATAGGTGAAACAAGAGCGTGTGTATGAATCTCATGAAATCGAACTAACTCATATTTACTTTCTTCCACTCGTTTGAAAACAACATTTGCATTGCATCCTTATCTAGTAAGACTCCTTCTTCTAGCTTTGATACTAGATTCACTCTGCTCCATCTCATTTGTCTTCATTGGCAAATAACCTTGTTTTGAGCAAACAAAGTACTTCTTCACGCCGTTTTTGTCTTTAGTTTCTGATGATGAACGCACACTAAATCTGACATGATGTGCATATTTTTTGTAAAATTCTCCACCTTCTTCTAATGTATCAAATACTTGTCCAATCTTAGGCTTTAACTCATCATCGCAATTTGGCACCCATTCATTTTCCTAAAAATCACAAAATAATACAATGATATCAAATATATTTAAATTAGTTTATAATCTCCGATCTTATTACTTAAAAAGAAATTAAATCATTTTTCTAAGAATGAGTGATACTAAAAATATTAAATAAATTAAAGTATAAGGGAATGATAAATATGTTAAATATGTTTATACGTATTTGGTATATTATTTCTTCTTGTCTGCACTTTGTTTTGGTTAAAGAAAATATTAAAGAAAAATTGATTTCAAGCTAAAAGATGTTACCTTGGGTAGTTGAGTTCCAATTGATATCACTTTGTCCATAGTAATAAAAAGTAGGAAACACTGAACAATAGAAGAGGAAGAAAATGATATGTAAGTGGTTTTCAGAAACAAGAAATGAGGAAGAAGGTAATGTATTTTCTTGGAGGAAACATTAATATGAGTTAACGTTAATTGTATTTTCTTAATTAATAAAAACTCTCAAGGGAAGAAAGAAAGTCAGCTAGGGAAGAAACTCTCACGTGAGTGACTAAAGGTGAAAATATTTAGTTAATTGGAAATCTCGAAGCTCTCCTGACTCCCCAACAATAAACAAGTCTGAATTTTCACTAATGATGTTTAGGAGTTCAAATATATTGGTTTATATAACCTTTTGATCCCTATAACCTAAAAAGGTGGTTGTTCATTACAACATTAATTAATGATTCTTTAACATTATGAATTTTATAAAATGTTTCTCTTACCTTATTCGAATAATAATACAATCTGAGCACACTCTTAATACAACAAATTAAGTCATTTATTTGGAATGGTTTCGTGGTTTTAATAATTTTATATGTATGTATTTTAACATTCTTATAGGTAGTTAATTCTTTGAAATTTTAACATTCGAATAAGTAGTTAATTCTTCTATATTTTAACATTTGAAGCATCACGTTTTTAGTAATACAATCTCGTAAACCCTTTTATCCATGATCATGTAACATATTTGCTTAAACTCATTAAATAGTTCTTACCATCTTATTCAATATTTTTGTTTGATAACACAATTTAAATGTATTTCGACATCAGAAACATCATAATTGTTTTAAATTACACGTAATGCACATATGTATCTCTTATAAAGTGCAATTAACAACCTGTACATGCAACAATCACACACATGCCGTGACACCAGAAGACTGAAAAAATCAAAAGTTTAATTCATAAATATTTAATAGAAATCAAAGTGTTAATGACAATCTCCGACAATTTATACTACTTGTAGTCTTTAACCAACAAGAGGCGAGTTGTGTCACACCTGAATGGTAGGGTGAAAGGTGTGTCAATATCTGGTTCAACCTTCCTTATTCTTGACGAACTATTTTTCTCTAAGTGTTTTCAATTTTTAAACCTCTTTTCCATTTCCTAACGCATGTCATTTTATAGCCACATTCATTTGTAGGGTTGTCTTCAGACTTTGGATCTTGGGTCTTTTAATTATCCATTATTTCATCTAAGGAATAAAATACATTTATTATTTTTATCTGTTGGTACAAGTACTAAAAATAGTACACAACGCATGTAGAAGACAACATGTCTCACAGTATACCAGTTATGCATGGTGGCTATTACAACACTCTAAAATAGTTTTTTCAGACTTGGTCCTCTAGCACTCATCCTTATCCTTTTAACTTTTCAATTATGCCATAACTTTCTTCCTCAAAACTTCATCACGTCAACCCTAATACTAAGATTGAAAATCTCTACTAGCATCTTCTGGCTCAGGGCCTGCTGAGTAGTTGTCATAAATTCCTGCCGCGACAAAATTTGTCACAAAAGTTACTCATGCAGATACACAAAAGCACATAAAAATAACAAAAAAGAGTATCTAGTGTGCTTCACACTATTTTTGCTAAAGTCATTCAAACGCGAATAAATAACTCTGATAAAGTCTAAAATTTATCATTTAATTCAAATATTAAAGACTTAAATAACTCATAAATAATGAGTTATTGTTCCGGACTAGCCTAATGGCTAGGCATGACCCAATCCACTTCTGCGCCTATAACGACCCAATAGCCTAAGCCCTGCCAGTTAAGGGCAATAGAAAGCATTTTCTACTCTGCCCCTCAGCCGAGGAGGGCTGATCAGCTGACCCTCAAGATCAATTGTCCTTCATCACATCTATGTCTATCACGCACGGTTCAACCATCCAGGAACGACCATAACACTTTTGCTCGCGACCACACCATTGCTCAAAGCAACGACTAGTTTCGAGCACATCTATCTGTCTCAATGACTAGTTTCAGGAAATTACCTATTTTTAAGGAACAATTATCTCGGTCCGAAAATAGGGACCAATGGTCAATCGCTGCGGGCATTACAAAAATCCTCTTCTATGAGAGGGTCAAGTATCCAATAATCATCTTAAGAAACACTTACTTTGTACTTACCTTCGCACCTCTGATTCTTACTTTAACATCGGAGTGTCTTGCAGGTACATCTCATCCTCCTTGAATTCCAGCATTATAGACGAAGTCTCTGACCCACTTCAGGCTCTGATCAACTGGAAAGATCAGTTATCAACCAATATCAAATTGAAGGAGTCAATAGACAAACTAGTTGATAACATATTATACAAACACATCATTGGCTCTTTGAAGTATCTTTGCAACACAAGATCAAACGTTTTCCATAGTGTGAGATTAGTAAGAAGATTTATGGAGGAACCAATGCTATGTCCCCCAATTGCAGCAAAGAGAATCCTAAGGTACATTAGAGGTACGACCGACCATGGTATATTCATATCAAATCAACAAAACACAATAGTGGAAATCAAGGCTTCTGGTTATTCTTATCCAAATTGGAGTGGTGATTAAGATGATAGAAAGAGCATACGAGGTTACTTGTTTATTCTTGGACCAACACTAGTCTCATGAAATTCAAAGAAGTGAGGAATCATGGATTTGTCTTCATGTGAGGCAGGGTGTGATGCAACCTCTTATGCTGCATGTCAAACACTTAGGTTGGAGATGCTACTTAAAGAGATGAATATGAACAATTGTGTGCAAATCTAATTACTAAAAAGAAATATCATTTTCTTAGGGACCAAGTTGGTTAAGTGAGGTTGAAAATTGAATATTGCAAAACTAAGTTGCAATTGATAAATATTCGGACAAAACTCTTAAAGCATACAAGAATTGAAGGCCTTAAAAGGTTAATGAGAATTAAAAGCTTAAAGAATATGAATTAGAAAGAGTATTATAAATTTATAATGTAATTCAGTTGTTAGTGACAGTTTAAAAGTGTCACACTTATAACTTGCATCACAAACAAACTCTCAAAATTAATAGTTAAGTTTATTGGTTAATTTTAGGCTTTACCATCTATTTAAAAGACCTATTCTCATGGTACTTATACTTCTAAGTTCCTTTCAATTCTCTCTAAAATTCTTCAATTTGCAAATACCTTAAAAACACATGTTACCCAACAAATGATGTTGGACAATAGAGGGATGAAGTATGGATGTGGAATTGGTGAGTGAAAAACTGTGATAGGAACATTTATTTCCCAAATTCTTTCTCTGTTGCTGTAAAGTACATCTCTTTGTTGATTACTAGTTTTTGAAAGAGGATGGTTCAAAAATTACTCAATCATATTGTATATTAGATCTTACATTCCACAAATAATCATTGGATTTCAGATCAAAATAGCGATTCTAATTTACATAATAAATTTTGGAAAAATTTAGTACCCTTTAAAGCTTCTATAATTTTTCTTGGAGGTTACTATTGGTACATTATTCATACAATAATTGCTCTTCTTAGGAGAGGAGTTATAAATAGCATGGAAGGGAAGTCTTATCTTTTCTGTGATTCTCATGTGGAGAACACCTCAAAATATACTTAATTTGTGCAGACTAACTAATCAAATTTGGTTCAATAATATTGCTTGGATTGACTTTTCTATTTGCAACATCCTACATCCAAGTTATTTGAACATCAAAATGTTAATATGATACACTCACTTTTCACTATTATAAACAAATTTTGTTTTTAGTTTATTTAACAAGTATATGGTATATACATCGATTAGATACATCAATTGTTAAATTAATCAGAAACATCAATATTAGGATGTCTATGTTTATGTGATATTTTTATCTTCTACTTTTTATATGCATAGACCAATATCTTGATGATATATACCATTTCTGGAATGAATAGACAAAATGTAAATGATTTGAAGATAATAAAGTTTCATGAATGGCTTCAGTTGATTTTGTCAGTTAGTTTTCGTTTAGTTGTCTGCCTACACTTTTGTTGTTTCCAGCTCATAGCAGATTGCCTATCTCACTTAATTTCCTATAAAACGTAGACATTGACACCGACATTGGTTCTAACTTGAAAAAATCAATAGATTGAATTTTATTATGTGTCCATGTCGGACACAAAACACACATTTGTTAATGTGTTAAGAAATGTAGTGCTAATTTCTGAACAGCAATAGATTGAATTTATTTAGTTATGTATGCGACTCGGACACAAAACACTACCTTTGTTCAGAAATGTAGTGCTAATTTCTGAACAGATTCTAAGAAAAACATCATATTATTTGAACCAACATTTTTATGGACATCAAGATTTCAATGATGACCCAACACTCCATAGAAAACACACATCGTAAAAAAAATGCGGCAGGTTGCTTCTAACCTAGACATTGAAACGTTTACAATAGAAATAGAGGAGGATTCTCCTCTGTACAGACACCATTGTTTTACTTCAGAACACTCTCAAGACCAAAACACTTTTAAACAATTAATAAATAAGAATTAAAACAACAACAAAAACAAAAACACCACCATCCTTTATCTACTTTCTTGTTTTATAAATTATGCATTCCCTCCAGCATAAACACAACTACTATAACCTACAAAATAAACAAAGTATATTTGCGATTAGGCACACTATATCCACAACAACTGATTAATGGATGAAATTTTTACGCTTTGGAGAGTTTCTCACTATAGAGAATTTGGAAAAAAAATGTCGCGCAAAAACGACATGAGAACTTACTTGGGTTAGTTGATGTTAGTGTGGCTGTCTCGGAGAAATCACAAGTTAATGGATTTTGCCCAGTGTGATAAAAGAGATTCATGGCATATGCAGCATGGTTCACTAATGTGTTAGGTTCGAAACAAGCTCCTCCTGGTTGGATTGAGCTGCAATCAATCCCCTGCCCACAAGCATAATCCAAGTTTGCTTGTAGCTGCACATCAGTTAATCCTGGTTTTGGCACACACCATGCTATGTTACTATTATACGGTAATGTTGGACTTGGTAATGTTGGACTTGAAACTTTTGGCGTCGAATTCAAAGGAGATTTTGACACATCCGGATTAATCTTCAATAAAATTCAGAATTACAAAGTGTTATTTACACTACTAGAACAACAATAAGATAAGATATGTGAGCATGATTAATGATTGCATAATGCTGGCTTCATGTCCGTTTAAGAATTCCGCTTTACTCGACGTAGGACTATGGCCTTTTGGTGTAGAACTTGGACCTGTTGGTGCTGCAATCACAGGAGTTTTCGATACTTCCGGAGTCTTCAATCAAATTCAAAAATACATAGTTAACACAACAATAGTGTATGTGCTCTAGAACAGTTTCAAAATGAGAGTTATGAAATGATGATTCTTCGTGGTTCAAGGTCCATGGTTCGTGCTCATTAAACAATATGAAGTTGCTTAATCATAAACCAATGACAATATTCAATGAATGATTATATAATACTGTGATATTATAGTGATAGAGTGCATACCGGTGCGGCCACGGGGCTGCTAGTAGGAGTAGTACTCTGCTGCTTAGAGAGGCCGGCGTCATAGATCATCGATTGATCAGGGTTGTAAAGCCCAAAGGCTCTCTCAGAAGCAGCGCCAGGTTTCAAGTCCTCGTCATACAAGGCAAATATGTATGTGTCAACTGATTTCCCCGGCATCAATGGTGTCCCAACCTTGGACCTCAGGTGAGTAATGAGATTACCATTGTACGCTTTTGCATTCTCAATACTCGGTCCAGCCTCGTCCGGATCCCCTTTGTATGGCCACCCTGTTTCCGCAACTACAATCTCAACTTCCTTAAAACCCATAGCATCTAAAGCAGATCGAACGGCATCCACCTACACAATACAAACTCATAAAAAAATTGCATCTTAAGCTTCCGGATTCCTAAAAGAACTAATATAACTTCTTTTAGCCTTATGCTCAATAGATATACACTCTTTTTAAACAGATGAAATCATGGTTTTAAATGGCAGTCAACAACCACAAATGCGGTCACAATATTGCTGATACTGTAGTCTCTGCAACCACAATTTAAAACTATGGATGCAATATGACATTTATTCATATATAAAGTGTAAAACCACAACTAATATGTGCAATTTAATCAAAGAAACAACTAATATGTGCAATTATCATAATTATCATAAAGCTACAAAAAATTAATCAGAGTTGATATTTCAACTAACCTGAGCGTCAAACATATTCATGTAATTAAGCTTAGTGTTTGAGTCAACTCGGCCCGAGTTGGGCTGAAAAAGGCAAAAAGCCAAATTATCTGCTCTTCCAGGGTCACTTTTGTAAGCAAAATAAGGGTAAGGGTTAATAGCAAAAGGAGAACCAGTATCTTTGTTAAACGACAACAAACCCTGCAAAACGGTACTATATTCCGGATGAAAACTTCCGGCGGACGGAGGCTCAGAGTTCTTCAAAACCGCCATAGTATGCACCGTAGAAACCTTAATTTTGCCACCGAGAGAAACCGCCTCAAGTGCGCCTTGCATGTTCTGTATCGCCGGCAACATCTGGTTCACAAGGTTGGTATCGTTTGAGTCTATCACTTCGTTACCAACGGTTATGAGGATGATGTTGCTAGCGGGATAATATGGAATCACGTTGGTGTTTATCCAGGTTTTGGCGAAAGAAGGATCGGAACTAAGTGCCGGAATGTCGCCGTTTGCAGCTCCGATTACTATTCCGATTCCGGTGTTGGCTAGAGCTTTGATTATGGCGGGATCGGTTCCGTATAATCGGACTTTTTCAAATGCGGTGGTTTGGAGTAGTTTCGCGGTGGCTGACGGTGGTGGAAGGTTGTCGGCGAGTTGTCCATAGTTCACGCCGAGGAACGGGTCACCATCTGCACAAAATAATAAAATTGAAAAATAAATTACATAACGGTTACTATATATATATTTCATTTAATAAAAATAAACACTGAAATTTTATTTTTTAAAGCGAATAAATGAAGTTGGTGTCTTTGCATAACCACTAAGGTTTCTATATAACTATCAACCTTTCAACTGAATTCAAAAGTATATGAAATTGAATGAAGGGTTGATGTAACTTACATGCAAAACTGAATGCAAGAAACAGAACAAGAAATGTGGAACTAGAAACCAAATTTGTCATGTTAACGTTGGGAATTTGAAACTGCACTTAAACTAAAAGAAGGAAACAGAAATTTATAGCAAGTGGTGGAAGGGTATAATCGTAAAGTACAAAAAGTGTTCAATATAAATTTCTCAATGAACGCATTTTGAAAAGTACACATTTAAATTAAAAATTTGTAAAGCAGTGTATGTGGCTAGTTATGAATTTAAAAAAGTGAATAATATTTGAATAAAATGAGTTGTGAATTCAATTGTAGCTATTACTTGCATGTTAAACAAAGAAGATTCTAGAAGTCGAAGAGGAAGATACATGATAGCATAAAAGTGATGAAAAGCACAACATTAGTGGAATGTTGTTTTGGTTACATGGGCAAGTAAGGACTAAGGAAACTTTGCTAAGGTTGGCACAATCTATGGGCAAGCAATCTTTTTATGTTTTTAATTGTTTAATAGAATACATAGCACTTTTTAGAAATCAAATTTAAGCTCATGTTTTAGAATCAAATTGTCACTACATAAGTATTCACATTGTGTATATTATCCACGTATCAAATGGATAACAAAATTGTAAAAGCGGAATTGAAAATGGTAAGGAAGAGTTCATGTTTTTGTTTGTTTGAAAAAGAAGACTTTATTAACATATGATAAAGGCATAAGATATGCTAAAGAAACAAACATATAGAGTTTTAATAAGGATTCCACCTTAAGCCTGCACGACTAAAATTGCATGATAAATAAGGACTAGCACACTACAATTAATGTATTTAAATTAAATTTTACATACACTGCACCAATAAAAAAAACTATCTAATAACTCAAACTAAGAGCTCCAAAAGCCTCCACTATATGAACAATTTAACTTTAAACAATGCACCAACTCAAAGCCCTACTCCACCACGCACTGAGCAAACATGGCGAAACAGCACACCCAAAAAGGAAGAGTTTGTGTTAGTACATTTCACCTTATAAGGTTTTTTTAAGTGGTTTGACTTAATGGTTCAATGACGTGTAAAGTAGAATAACAACACAATCATGACAAAATGTTTATTCACCGTTGTCCACAACATATATTTTAAAATTCCTTAACTAAATATCTTTTATATTGAATAGAATAAAAATACAATTATACTAAATTCAGTGATTTTTACTTAAATATGAGGTTTACATTGTTCAATTTGAGGGTTCCATTATTATCTTGATGACAAGGATGGGAGCAAGGGTATTTTTCGTATGGTGTCTCATCTTAAGACGCTACATTTATGTAGTTACGAACGGAAAAGTGCAATACAAAATACAATTGAGAATGATCGGGATTTATTTACGACTTTGGAGGAGTATTTAAGAGTGGTTAAGCAATGATTATGTGAAAGGTGTATGAGCATTCATTCCATGAGTCGGGCAGGGCCGACCCAATCAATCCGAAGGTTTGATCTAATTTAAAAAATAAGTCTAAAAGAATATGAATTTATACCGAATCTTCGGGGGAAAAAACGATATAAAATCATAGGTTTTGAAAAAAAATGATTTTACACCTATTTTTAACAAAGCAAATGTAAAACAGATTTTGAAAACATTATGATTTAAGATCTGTCTTTAAAAAAATAGGTGTAAAATGTAAAGTTGTAGTAATTAAAAAAAAAGTGAGCCCCTCAAAATTTGGGGCCCATAACTATAGCTCATGTTGCTCATGCTAAAGGTCGGGTCTGGAGTTGGGTTTGCCATCATCTTAATGGGTTGGTTTGTGTTACTCATGGAACAAGGTAGGTCGAAAGTCACGGTGCGGGTATTGTAAAATCATCAACAACAGACTCGGATAACCTCAAAACAAACAAGGAGGTTGTTTTGGATGCAAGGTTGTTAGAGAAAGTCCTTACATCACATGTCTTTACCGTGAATCGTATACCTCTTATATGTTGTCTTACTTTCTCTCAGGCATTGAAAAGTGTTATTTATAAGGTGGTTGTTGAGCCCAGATCAGTATGTGTTTGGGGTTAAGTTGTTAATTCTTCCTCATTGTATTATGCAGGTGGTTAAGCCTTAGAATAGGTGGGATCACAGGTCTGGAAATCAAAGTCCTTGAAACAACATCACACTTTAAAATGGTTGGCTACTTGGAGAGACACATATGGTCTTACCAAGTTAGTAAATAATGTGTTGGGCATCTATGAGCGAGATAACTTAGGTCATTGGGGAATTCATTTTGAAGAGAAAGATGAAAATATGAGTTCTAACGCTAAGCAATGCCTCCGTAAGGTTGCAGACGACCACTTCACGGTGGATGTAAAAGTGTCAGGGTCATCCGGAGTGCCCCCTATAATAACATACAATGAAGGTTTTAGAGGCTAAACACGCGTACATACCAGCTCCTCCATGTCGACCACCTTGTTCTCTGAAGCTCCCATAGTGGTTGAAGTTTATATTATTTTCAAGTAAATTAAATCACTTCTCAAAGGGATGTCATGTGGTAGAGATGGTTTCCGAGCTCAACATATATTTGACGTACTGTGTGGATAAGGTTTTGTTGTGGTAAGAGATATTTATATGCAATCATTCTAGTTGTTAACTTATGGCTAAGAAGAAAATGTCCATGAGTTTGGCATAGTTGGTTGCCTATGCACCCTTAACGTTGTTATTAATGCATGATGGTGGATACAACCATTATTGCATGTTTTATTTTGAGGCGGTTAGTATCCAAGGTTTCTATGAAATGTATCATTAAAAATGTGGCATGTTATCTTAATGATTTCTTGTTTGAGGTCGGGGTATTGGGTGGTCGAGGTCATTTTGCATAGTGCCAACAACAAAGATGGTTTTTTGGTTATGCTCACAATAAATTTCTCGGTTGCTTTCAACATGGTAGATTGACCAACTCTATTACGCGAGGTGAAGGTGAAATGCTCATCAATTTCTTTGTGGGTTAAGTTTTTTTTATATGGTAAAACATCATAGTTGTACCTTTGGGATGAACATATTATGTCACCCAGTGAAGTATAACAAGGTGACCCATTACGGCCACTCATTTTTGCTCTTGTGTTACACCTACTCATTCAACAGGTTAGAGACAATTGTATGCTTTTTCTTCATGCATGGTATCTTGATGACGAAACCATTATAGAGGTTTCACGGGAGGTGCCTAAAGCTCTTGACATCATTTGGGAAATAAGTCCATCTTTAGATCTCAAATTGAATATTTGTAAGACTGAGATCTTTTGGCCCTCGTGTGATAGTAGTAAACTTTATGAGGATTTGTTTCCATCGTACATTGAGAGGTTGATATTGGGGATGAAGTTGCTTGAATGGGCTTTTAGTCGAGATAAAGTCTTTATCAGGGGGTTGTCCATAAAGAGAGCTTCCAATACTATTGATTTAATGCATCTTCTACCACAACTAATGGATCCTTAGAGTGAGCCTCTTCTACTTCGATCCTGCAAAGGTATTGTTAAATTGTATTTTGGCTTAAGAATGTGTAAACCTAATCATATGGAGGAAGCAACTATTTGGTTTGATAAAAAGTTGCAAAGGGTGGTTGAAGACATTATGGTTGGGGAATGTTCTTTCTTCGAAGACCTTCATTGAAGGGTGTCTTCTTTACCAATTAGAGTCCAGGGATTGAGTTTGTATTTAGTAGAGGCTACCTCATATGCTTTTTTGGTTTCTAGGGCTCAATCTTGATTGTTACAAGATCATATATTGAGAGATAATGGATTATATGGTACAAAATCTGATATTGACGGACCTTTAGATGATCTCAGTGTTGCAATTCCATATTTTGACCTTAGTGATTTTACTAGCATGAATATCACCCCTCTTAAAGCACAATATGTTTTAATAAGTGTCATTTTTAGCAAAGTGTTCAAAACATAGATGTAAATTTTGATATGACCACGAGACAAAAAGTAGTTTTTTGTTGTTTGCAAGTCACACATGCTCAAGACTTTCTCCTTGATATTCCTGTTGATATGTTAGGTCAACATATGTAACTAGTGGAGTACAATACTATCCCAAGATATCGCCTTATGGTTCCCTTATTTCCTATTGATAATGTTTGTCCTGTTTGGCGTAAAGCGTGTTTGAATACATTTGTGGAACATGAAATTTATTGTAGAGAGCTTTCAAGCTTTAAATACCGACATGACTTTGTTAAGGATGCCCAATTTGATATATTTTGATGGACTCAAGTATCTTGAAGAAATATGTGCTTGTAGATTTCTCGATTAACTCACATGAGGAAATATCAACACTTAAGTCAGCATATATTTTGGTATACAAGTGAGTAGGAGGGAAACATGCATGTGTGGACTTGACAAAGATTTCTCCACTAAGGACTTAGGTTTTACTGTGTGATGGATAACTCTCAAAGCTGCTTCAACTAAAATGACCAAACATGAGAAAACGTGTTTCGATAATTAACATGCTTTTAAACTATTTGCCTTTGACACTTTTAATTTTCTAATATCAAAAACAATAAATATTCTTTTAGAAAGTCCAAATACTTACGTATCACAATATTTTATATTCTAAATTAATAAATTAAAATTTTAAAATGATTGATTTTATTATTAAAAAAAGTTAGTGACATAGGTTATTGTCTTTTTATTTTCTATGTATAAACTTTATTATATATTCGATGAGTATAATTAAAGTACAAAGAGAAAATAAAAACTAATAGAAAGTAGTTACAATGTAACACTCAATCCACAATGAATGAAGTAACATTTTTCTTAACTTATTTTATTCGCTGCTTATGCAAGAGAACTTAGGCAGTGACATCTAGACACAATCAATTCAAACGACCGTGCTATGGCAACTTACTCTAAGTGAGTGGTGCAATATACCAAACCTGACAAATTCAAATATTTAAGGTTAAAAAAAATAGTGCTTAAAAACAAAAGTAAAGCAAATACTATAAAGACGTGTGATGTGAGTGCTTGTTTCTTCTTTTAGCTTGGCTCCACATTCAAAGTTGATTAGGCAGAAAACTAAGTTAAATTACATTGCATTGGGGCTTTTAAGGAGAAA